TGAGACTATACTTCAAAGTGTACTAAAAACGCTACAATTATTTAATTAGTAAACTATCAGTATTCATATAAGTTCACTTTTAGTGTAGTTGCAGTACAAGCTAAAATTTTTGATGTAAACTAGTTGTGTACTCAAAGTTTACTACTGTTATACTTAAAAGTATACTTTTATATATTAGAAAGTGGGCCAATTTAGTCCCAAGGAGTATTGAAATAGTACACTTACAAGTATACTACTAGTACACTGATATTTGTATACTTACAACATAAAGTATACTTAAAAATATACTTGAACTTTACTTAAGTATACTTACTAAAATAAACTTGAAGTATACTACTTTTTGGTAAGGGAACGGTTTCACTGATTAAGAAATAGTTTTGTTTGCTTGGGTGGTAATATTAGGCCTATTATATTAATAGGGAAGGGGGACCCAAAAATTTGTTTTGCCTATGTGACGAAAAGAGGTAAATCCCGCCCTGGCTGCTTGGTAAAAGCCTTGCAGTAGCTATTAATGCAATGTGTGAGCAAGGTCTGCATGTCATGTTGCACTGTGGTTGGCTATACTCACAGCGGCCTCACACAGGAAATGCACTTCAAAATTTCACACCCTTTCAGAATTTTAATCAGAAAAGCTTTATAATAAACAAAACAAGACTCGAAAAAAAATCCATAATGCTAAAACAAAAAAGTAACATCCAAATGGTTTTACTACTGAGTGTCACAAAATAAATATTTGTTATAGTTGCAGTGAGCATCTTATCTTTATTAATGAATCAATTAGCATCAGTATAGTTTTCACCTGTCCATAATGGCATCTTTACCCACTCAAATTGTTCTCAAACTGCTTTGTATAAGTTTAGTAAGGGAAATGTTTTAGTAGAAATAAAATAATTCACCAAATGACCACAAGAGAGCAGCGAAGTGTTCTGAGTCTCAGCTTAACCTTGCAAAATGGACTTTAGCAATACCATGGTACAATTCATGTAGTTTGGTAGTAGCATGCAGTTTGGATGTTTTAAATAATTTGTTCCTTTTTTTTAGCAAAAACATTTAATCTACAATAAAATTAAAATAATATATAATTATAATAAGTACATATATAAAAAACAAATTAATGTTTAATATATAATAATCATATATAATTTATATTAATAGATTTCATAAGCATAATGCATATTCTACAAATTAAGAAATGTGTGTTTGTTTGTTTGTTTTGTTGTGTTAGATGTGTGTGTTTGTGTGTGGGAAATCTGTATATGTAAACTTGCTTGTGTTGGAAAGAATGATTTTTCACACTGTGATATTAATAAATACTGTCAGACAGTCTTGTTGACCACACGCCTTTTATTGGCTATATCCACAGGTTTCAACTGACAGTCATTTCTGTATAGGACTACAAGTTATTAAAAAAAAACAAGTGTTTTATTCTTTCTTCTTGTTTAAGAAATCATAAATGATGTGGGAAAAAATGGCAGAAGGCCTTAAACAAAGTTACTTCTCAGTACAATTTGCCGTTGAAACTCACAGTTAAGAACCAATAATCAGATTTACACTCATCACCCCAAAATCTGATGTGTGCTTTTATGATTCGTCTGTGACCACAGCAAAATGTAGAATGAGTCCTCTGCTGCAAACTCTGTAGTAATGTGTGTCACATTGGCTGTTTTCTTTTGCATTTCACAGATCATGAAAAGCAAGCTTCTCTATGCTTATCTTATCAGTAACAGCCGTCAGTGTTTTATTGTTGTTTCTACTAGCCAGTTCTGAGAAAAGACACAGTGAAGAACTGTTTATCAGAGACACAAACAGAGAAGGCAAACCCTTTAAAAATCTGCTTTGAGGCTTTTTTAACAGACAATGCCGTACATTAGTACTGTAACTAAAGGGGCGAAATAATGACTATTCCTCTGTTTATGTTTACGGGTTTCTTTTTTTTAACTTCTGCAATTTTATTTATTTGACCTACTTGATGATATGTGTGCTATTTAAGTATGGGTCTAATATTGCATCACCTCATGCAGTCTGCCCAAGCATCATGTGTGTTTTTGTCATTAAATAATATAATCCACATACAACATATATTACAGAAAATTGGCCTTTCAATTCTAGTTTCATTCAATTCTTTAGGTTCTGGAAAAGTTTACTTCATGGCAGCAACATGAAATAAAACAATTTTACATTCAGTCTAAACTAATATGAAACCATTGGCAGGGTAGAGAGGAAAATAATTTTTTTTTGACATACCAGTTATCATAAACACTCATTTCACATGAAATTACATTTCAGTAAATGATGTGTTATGACTTTGGTAGAACTGTGAGAATGTTACAAACAATGGGACAATTTAATTGGTCAGAAGTAATAATAAAAATAAATAATAAAATCAGATAAACAATCGAAAACTGAAACTTATACATGACTGATTTTAATTTTTTTTCCATATTTCATACTAAATTTTAAGGCGTGGTTTAAAATATAAGACATGTCTCTGCTGAAAATGAAAAGTCAGTAAAGGAGTGATACCCTTTAAAATATTTTGAATTAGCCTTCTTTTTTTAAATGAAATATCATGGAGGACCAAAGTATGAAAATGTTGTTTCCAAAAACATCAAGGATGTCGGACTGTCTGCGGTGACATGTCATGTAATGTTGTTTTATTGTCTCTTGTTGAACAATACTTTGTGCTGATTGGGCGTGATCTTTATCATCATAATGGCTGTATGCACAGAGAGACTAGAAAGAATGTGGCCTACAATTTTTGCTATGGCTAATGTAATAATTACAGTTATCGCTAGATACACTCTAACCTACAATTGATCAAATCCAGAGACTCTTAATGTAAGTCCAGAAACAAGGTGTTAAGTTAAACGTATATCAGCGGTGGTCATTTATTTTAATAGATACTTTATATTTTGCTACTATGCCATGATGAACGACTGTGCAACTATCAGCATTTGTTTCACCTCACACATAGACACATCCATTACGGTACTATTCACATACAAATCAATAAGCTTGATTGAGTATTTATCATCATGTATGGTTGAACTTATTGAGGTGAAAAGGATGATGGCCTGACAGTTTTCTTATCAGAATAATAACAAAATAATATCACATACAACATTCAGCTAATGGCTAATCCAAAAATGTAAACATCAGAATCCCACCTTCGAGTAAAATTCTGGATAGAAAATGTTATTAAAAAAAAAAAAAAACAGCACATATTTTGCTAAATCCCAACTCCTCCCTACGCAGATCTAGCTGCTGCAGATCTCTAACTTTGGTTTGTTAACTGTTTGATAAAAACAGTACAAAAAAATACTGCTGTATAAAAAAAACGAATCAAGCTCTCAAGTTTCCGCATGAAAATTGCACAGCATTATTTTTTTAAATCGTGTTCTTCCTCGAAATAAAAGAGCTGGTATAATAAGTATCGCCGCAGTTGCCGAAAGGCTCTCGTTTTTACTTTTCTATGTTTTTTCCAAAACTACAATTGGTACTGCTGCACTTCTAATCCAGCTCTATATTATTTATACCGTCAAGTCATCTGACCTTGCCCGACTGCTGGCTTTGCTCAGGCTGCTGAGTGGTCGCGTGTCTTCTATCGTCTCGCTGGCTTCCACATCTGCTTCGATGGCCAACTCGTCCTCGTCTTCATCCCTGCATACAACTCCTGCCGCCGTGCTCGGTCCTATCACGGTCGTCTGGGCGTAGGAGGGCAGCGTTTCGTCATACACCTTAGACGCGTCTTTCTTAGGTGCTGTCGCCTTGTCCGTTTTCTCCTCAAATGGCTCGTACGGAGCTGGAAGCCGGCCAGCCTCCATTCCCCCTACCTCAGTCAGAGGGAAGAAGTGCGATGTGGCTTTGTCCTCCTCCAGCAACTTGTAGCCTTTGGCTTTCTGGATCGAGGAGGACGCTATGGAAGGCAAGGCCTTCTCGGCCGCCCCTGGTCCCTCAACTTGCGGCTGCACCAGTTTACGGAACACAAAGTGGATCTTTTTCAAGCCCAAATGGCTGATTTCCACAAAGTTGAGGAAAAGCGAGACGCAGGCCATGGCTAACATGAAGATGATGAACACGGTTTTCTCGGTAGGCCTTGAGACAAAGCAGTCGACCGTGTTTGGGCACGGCCAACGGCTGCACTTGTAGAGCGGCAGGATTCGGAAGCCGTACAAGTAGTACTGGCCCACCACAAAGCCTACCTCAAAGAGAGTCTTGAAGATAATGTGGCAGATATAGGTCCTCAAGAGAGTGCCCTCTAGACGGAACTTCTTGCTGCCCTTTGTGCTCGTCTCCTTGGCCGTACGGACGCTTCCCTGATCGGGCGCGATCGGCAGCCTCTCCTCATTCATCTCTTGCTGCCTGTTGAGCTCAGCCTCCTCCCGTTCCTTGCGCTTCCCCTCCATGTGTACATGGTGGACTGCGTGGCCCACATACACCAAAGAAGGCGTGGAAACGAAGATGATCTGGAGCACCCACAGGCGAATGTGCGAGATGGGGAAGGCCTCGTCGTAGCAAACGTTCTCGCAACCCGGCTGCTGCGTGTTGCACACGTAATCCGATTGCTCGTCGCCCCACACGAACTCTGCGGCCGTGCCCAGGATGAGGATTCGGAAGATGAAGAGGACCGTGAGCCACACCCTACCGATTACTGTCGAATGCTCATTTACTTCCTCGAGGATGTTGCCCAAAAAGCTCCAGTCACCCATGGTTGACTGTCAGCGCTGCGGAGCAAACAAAATAGATGTTTGAAAGCGGGCAGAGATGCTAAATGTTTTTTTTTTTTGTATTGAAAATTTGGGAGTATACTTGATGTAGATCGTCCCAATACTGTTGGAAATGCGTTGATAGAATTATTTAAAAATCACATTTGCAGCATTAGTTCTATCAGATCGAGAAGCATCTAGAGTTCGAAAGATAATCAAATCAAGACATGACATTATATATTTTTTCACCCTGTCTGAAAAACGTCACAAACTCTTACATTTCACATCCGACTCTTAAAAAAAAAACACACCCCAAATTCTCTACAACCGAATCAAATGCATAGCCAAAGGTGCTCTATATAGAACAAACAGCAATACAGATAAAGAGTATAAAATGGGCAACTTGCCACAGTAAGAGCTCCAGAGTATTTGTGTTCCCCTTCACTTGGCACACTGTGGTGTGAAGTGAACTTTTTGCTGTCTGGTTCCCACCTATGGCCTCCAATCCTTGTCGCCCGAGTGAGCAGAAGTGAATCAATCCAGTCTGATGGTTGGTTTTTAGTTTGCTGCAATATTTAAGCTGGGAGCCAGACAGCCTTTATTCAGAGGGCGACGCATGGTGACGCATAGTACAATAGGATTCACAAACACAAATGGGAATGTATGTGACACTGGCATTGGGAAAAGGGCAATTTTAAAAGTGTAAACTTGACATGGTGCATGATTCTGAACATACATTTTTAGATTCAGTACATTGTCACTTGAGTTTCAACTAGCAGCGTTATCAATTATCTATTAGAAACTCTGGCTACATTTCTCAGAAACATTGGTTCTTTGGCTCAAGGGAAGTGGTAATGTGGCCTTTACTCAAATTTGTTCATGTCGATTTTTATGGACATAAGGATAATGCTATGCTAAACCCATCAGAGAAAATGGTCACATCATAATGATAGATGTTCTTTTTTTTTTTTGAAGGCTTGAAACTCATGGTTTCTTTTTTTTAAATTAAATCCCAATCAAGCAAACATTTAAACATTCAAACATTTTTTATTTGATCATATATAATAATAATAACACTTTAATCTGGCAAGAGTCTTGTTTTTGTTTTTTTGTCACGGTGCAGGGTGCCTTCTCGGCTTCCCCTGCGGTTTGTGTTGTCCTGTCATGTTCGGTAGCTCGCTGGGCAATCAATCAGCGCTGATCTCGCAGCGGGGGTTCGCGGATCACGAGCTGACTCTCCCCACCTGTCGCTCATTCCCCCACTCCCTTATATGTCTCTGCCTGTCTGTCGTTCGTCGTGAGTAGATTGTTTTGTCCTTGCTCGTGTCTTTGTGTGACTTGTGTGTGTGCAAGCATAAGTGTCTGACCCTCTGTTCTCCTGTGCTCAAGGACTCGTAATACGGAGATCCGGCAGCTCGAGTGGTCCGCAGTGTCTGCCGGCCAGCTCTGGAATCTCCGCTCACTTGAGCAGCAGTTAACTATTGTTTATGTTATTTTGTGTTTTGTGGCGAGAATAAAGACCCTCCTTCCTCACTACTCTGCATCTGAGTCCTCTCTCTATCCCAGACCCTGACATTTTTTTGTTCATGTGACAAAAATGCATCAGAACATGGCTATAAAAGCACCATGTTATCATGAAGCCAATGTATACTGAAACCAGTTTTATTTTTCTCATACATTATGATACTAGTCATCAAAAGTAACATTACTAGACATGTAAATATATAACATTTAACATTTAAATTTACATTTAAATACAATCAAATTTTACACATGCATTTATAGCAACATAAAGCCAAAAGAGTCAAGTCTAATTAGTCAAAACCGCAACCAATAATCCCTCTCTGGACAATGCTTTAGCCTGTGTGGACCACTTTTCATCCAACTGGAATGTGCTTTAGAAATAACATCATGGAGAAAGTGTTGCCATTGGTTGATAATGAAGAATGATGTTCAGCGGGTGGTTATGTGAGTGTTTGGTGGGTGGAGACAGTGCATTTGCATATATTCTTTATATGAAACACTAGCAACGCCTCTGCAATATATCACAAGTCAGTGTTAAAACATTTTATAGCTACTATAGACTAAGACTAACATGATAAACCCAATGACCCTATTGCATTTAATATAGACAGAATGAAATACAAGAGCAGGAGGATCACCTAAAATACCTCTCTACTATCATTTTAACAGAATAAATGATCACAGTTTATTTTAAGGTCCAATTCTCACTATTATCAAACAATTAACTACGACTTTTCCCTCAAAAAATTCCTAATTTGCTGTTTATTAATAGTTAGTAAGGTAGTTGTTTAGTTTAGGCATTGGGTAGGAATAGGTATGTAGAATATAGTCATGCAGAATATGTCCTTTATAAGTACTAATAAACAGCCAGGGCTGCATTTCCCAAAAGCATTGTAAGTTTAAGTACATCGTAGACCCATTGAAACCAATGGAGCTACGATCAATTTCAATTGAAGAATTGGTCTCTACTAAAGTGTTATCAAAAAATAATAACTGGATCAACGGTGAAGGCTGAGAATTTTGAATGCATCATGATAATTCAGGACACCAGTGTTAAAAGTCCCAAAAACAAAGAATAGTTTGTGTGTATATAACAGGGGTGTCCAAACTTGTTTCCAAACTTGTGTTCAGCTTTGTTTTTGCTGGTTTTAGAGGGGTTTTGGCCACTAATCAGACTGGAAGACTAGCTGGCCAACCACTTGAAGACCAGTCATGTAGACCAGATTAAACCAGCTAAGACTTACGGTTGTCATAAGCAGGGGTGTCCAGTCCTGCTCCATGAGGGCCACTGTTCTACAGAGTTTAGCCCCCTACCCTAATTATTCACATCTGAATCAGCTAATCAAGGTCATCAGCCTAACTAAAAACTTCCAGACTAATGTGTTGGAGCTGGTTGAAGCTGCAGGATATTGACCCATCTGGAGCAGGATTGGACACCCCTGCTTAAGACCATCCTAAGTATAACCTAGTTTATGCTGGTCCATATGGTTGGCCAAGCTAGTCTCACAGTCTGATTAGTGGCCAAAACCCCTCTAAAACCAACAAAAACAAGGCTGAGAGAAAAGAAGAGACCAGCAGGCCATCTTAAGCTGTTTGTTTTAGGCATCTACTGAGCTTTTTGGCAACCAATATAGCCTGACAATAAATAAACCACATATTCTATCCTAACCTAGTTCTCTTGCATGGACTTTTAGTCCTACAAAAGTATCTCAACATCATCTGCATTATGCATCTGAGTATGCTGGAGCAAACAGTCCTCATGTTAGCTTGACCCTGAAGCCTTCATTTAAAGGTGCTACTTGTTGATATTGCCGGCGCTGGCAGCCTAAGCCAGCAGCAGAGTGGTGAATGGTTGTTGGGATTTCAAACAAAGGCATGATGTCATGATGAAGTCCGCTGTGTCCATTAAACGTGCGCACTGAGGCATGATCCCAGATTGTGCGAATGAAGCAGGCCCCAGGCTATGGCTAAGCATAGGACCATCCCTCAAACAAAGTTATCTTACGCCGATCTGCCTACATGCTGTTGCGCCACGTTTCCTGCTCCTGAGGGACGATTTAGCTGACAGCCATAAAACTACATAGGATACAGTGAAAGGCTAGCATTAGCATACAGGTAGCATTAGCCATTAGCAGGGAAAAGGGATAGGGGGACACATCCCCAGTGCTCTCACTCTGTACACAAAAAATGGAGTTGTCGGATAACTAAGGCAAGTTTAGTGAGACATTGTAGCTTTACTTTGTATGACTGGGACTTAATCTCACTTGGGATGTGTAAACTACTAAATAACAGTAGCTTTTGCAAGGATAGTATTGTATTGTATTTATATCAAAGAACACTTGCTGAAACTCTGGTCTAAACTGGATTATACTTGATAGTGTTGATCTAGCTGGTGGACTTCCGTAGCCAAATGGTTTGCATGATATTTCCATTGGTTTATGATGGGAGTTTGTGCTAGTTAAGTTAGTTTAGAATCCTGCAGGGAAAACTAGTACACCATTCTAGAGACTATCATCCAAAATTGAACAATGACTGGTCTTTCCAGAAGGCATGTTAAGTATTTTTACTGGTTGTACATACTGGATCACTTAAAGGGATAGTTTACCCAAAAATGAAAATTCTGTCATTAATTACTCTGTCAGACCTTTGTTTATCTTCGGAACACAAATTAAGATATTTTTGATGAATTCTGAGAGCGCTCTGACCCTCCATAGACAGCAAGGGTATTACCATGATCAAGGCTCAGAAACTTAGCAAGGACATCATTAAAATAATCCATGTGACATCAGCGGTTCAACCATAGTTTTACGAGCTATGATTTGGGAGAGTATCACATACGTAAACAACGTATGCAACGTATGTAGGCGGATACGTTGTTTACGTTCAGATCAACGCGTAATCACTGTAAAAACAGAGTATCTGTGTACGGTGCTGCTGACACAGAACAGCATACGTTGTTTACGTATGTGATACTCTCCAAAATGGCGCTAGGGTGACGTGGAGGAGACGAATTGTTGAATAAAGTCGTTATTTTTGTTTTCTTTGCGCACAAAAAGTATTCTCGTAGCTTCGTAAAATTACAGTTGAACCACCGTAGCACGATTTCCTTGCTACGTTTCTGAGCCTTAATCGTGTTAGGATCCTTGCTGTCTATGGGAGGGTCAGAGAGCTCTCAGAATTCATCAAAAATATCTTAATTTGGACCAGGAGGCTTGTTTTAGGCATCTACTGATGTTTTTGGCAACCAATATAGCCTGACAATAAATCAACTATATATTCTATCCTAACCTAGTACTCTTACATGGATTCCTTACAACAGAGTCCTACACGAGTATCTCAACAACATCTGCATTAGAGTATGCTAAAGGTTGGAGCAAACAGTCCTCATGTTAGCTTGACCCTGAAGCCTTCATTTAAAGGTGCTACTTGTTGATATTGCCGGCGCTGGCAGCCTAAGCCAGCAGCAGAGTGGTGAATGGTTGTTGGGATTTCAAACAAAGGCATGATGTCATGATGAAGTCCGCTGTGTCCATTAAACGTGCGCACTGAGGCATGATCCCAGATTGTGCGAATGAAGCAGGCCCCAGGCTATGGCTAAGCATAGGACCATCCCTCAAACAAAGTTATCTTACGCCGATCTGCCTACATGCTGTTGCGCCACGTTTCCTGCTCCTGAGGGACGATTTAGCTGACAGCCATAAAACTACATAGGATACAGTGAAAGGCTAGCATTAGCATACAGGTAGCATTAGCCATTAGCAGGGAAAAGGGATAGGGGGACACATCCCCAGTGCTCTCACTCTGTACACAAAAAATGGAGTTGTCGGATAACTAAGGCAAGTTTAGTGAGACATTGTAGCTTTACTTTGTATGACTGGGACTTAATCTCACTTGGGATGTGTAAACTACTAAATAACAGTAGCTTTTGCAAGGATAGTATTGTATTGTATTTATATCAAAGAACACTTGCTGAAACTCTGGTCTAAACTG